GTGAGTGCCCCTTGCTTTGAAATATACGAGACTACTGTAGAATTGTCCAAATGAAGCATTACCACCTTCCCTCACAACAATTCGACACCCTAAGTCAGCTCATTGAACAGCTAAAAGTTCTAAGAGATTGATGAGGAGAGAAGCTTCCTCTACTGTCCAAAATCAATTGAATTCCATATTGTCTATACAAGCACCACAACCCTGAAGAGAAGCATCTGTGAAAAAATGTATCTTTGGCATGGAGGTGGTAAAGGGACACCTACTGTTGTGTTTTCCATATTAAGCCACCAGCTGACATCCAGCAAACTGAAATCAGACAGTTTCACTGGACAATCCAGTGCATCTGTGCAAATGTTCCACTGGTCTCGTAATGACCACTGAAGGGCCCGACCTAAAGGAATGAGTGATTCCAAGGATGTCCACATCCCCAAAAGAGATAGAACTGTGCATGAAGGTGGAGAAGGAGACAACTGTATTTGAAGAACTGCCTATTCCATAGCCTGATGGCACAGAGGAGAAGGTTGGGCCTGGCTTAACCCTTTAACCACACTCACCCTATAAACCCCTTTCTGCACATGTCATAAGATTTTACTGAGTTAAATTCACTTTACTATAAATGTATTTTAATGAAACTACTATTATCAAGTACACTATATTTTAAAAAGAAAAGTCTAAAACAGCAATTAAAACTACAGTTTTTGCTGTCACGTGACCCACTGTGGTTAAAATTCTCAAGTTTAAGAGGTCTGACACAAGAAACTATAAGTAGCTAATATAGACTGTCAGCACAGATGGTTAAATACAATTTCAGCTGTCTCTCATTAGATAGGGGAAAACTTCCAAGAATTTCTCCCTGTGAAACAACATTATAATATTTCTAAGTTTAAGGTCAGCTATACCCACTTGCAAAGTCACAGCAGTGTTGTCAAGCTATAGTTTGAAGTTGAATGGCATGTTTATAATCAATAGAAAGAGCAGATTTGGCACTATTCAGTTATAGCTTGAAGAAACCTCTACCTGTGTATGGATCTGTAGTATGAAATAGAAAATAAGCTTAATACATTGTTCTCTTCAGGGGTATGTAATGTTTGGCAAGTGTTTCTCTCCTTATATGCATTAGTTTGCTAAATAGATTGCATTTAGGTTTTACATTTATATTTTAATTAATTATGCAATATTTGTATTTTAAAATGCATATTTGAAATGTTTATGATTTTTATATGTTTAACTTATTGTAGTTTGGCTTAACAAAATGTCTAAGCAAGAGTGTACGTGTTTGGAATTTGTGCAAGAGAGTCGCCCTAAAATAACAACAGAGCACTGTGGGGACATGTTGGCCTTGTTGGGATCATGAATAAAAGACAAAGAACTGAAAAACAAAATTAAAAATAAAGTACAAGTGAAAAGTTAAAGAAGTGAAATTATGCATATGATAAAAACTATTCTACAAAAATGTAAAAGGTATGTATACATACTTCCATTTCTTAATTTTAAACATTTCATTGCACTGTACATTGATGATTATATCTAGAGTTAATGATACAATAGAGAAAATGGAAAACAAAATATAAACATTTGCCTTAAAACTTTTGATATTGATTTAGGAGGTTCTAGAGATTATGCAAATGAAATGTGAAAACTGAGAGATAAGAAATAGTATTTTTTAAACTCAAAATTAAAATCACTTTGCATGTGAACTATTCAGAGTCTGAGTGCAAATAACTACATTAAATAATGAATGTTTTAATGTAAATAGCAGAAAAAAAGCAAAGTTAAATATTTTATTTTTCTAAAACTATATAATCTTAGGACCATTCAAGTCAAATTTAAAACTATTTCATCAATTAGTTTCATTAATCTGTAACTGAAAAACACCCCTAAATGAAGGAGGTACTGAATGGGAGTAAGAACAGACTTCTCCTTTTTGGTAAAAAAACCCAGCTCTTGCAGCTTCTGATAACAGAGTTTGAGTGTGCAGTTCTGCCAAATGGCAGGAAGGGTCGAGAAGAAGCCAGTTGTCCATGTAATGGTGAGTGTGAATGCCAAGGGAATGAAGATGACATGAAAAAGCTCTGACTACCCAGTAAAAAACATATGGAGCAGATGCAAGGTCCAATGATAGAGGACGAAACTGAAAAACATAGTTGTCGTGCATGAAATGGAAATAACACCTCAAAGACTTGGCAATTGGGATATGATGGTAGGCACCTACAATGTCAAATTTTGTCTTCCTTGGTCTGGGTGAAAAGAGTCACTAAAGGGAAAGAAACAACCCCATTTTAACTTAGGAGGCTGAAGGAAACAATTGAGATGAGAAAGGTCAATGACCAGTCGCCTGTCTTTTTTCGATACTACAAACAGCCAAGAGAAGAAGGTGATGCACTCCATGGCTTCTTTGTGCAGAAGACCCTACATAGCTTGTGCTCGATGATTTGAGTAAGAGGGTTCTTGAGAAGTGGAAAGCCAACTGGTATGAGAAACAGGGGAAGAGGAGAAGACATGAATTGAATGACCAATCAGCTCCTGAGAACTTGAATGACCCACTGATCTGTGGTAAATGTCTCCCATATTGACACAAACCCTCTGAGATGAGACCCCACAGGACCTAACCCCATAAGTTAGTTACTGATGCCAAAATCTGTGCTCCACTCAGAAGGAGGATCCCCACTGGTAAGGTCAAAATCACCCTTGTGTTCCAATGGATCATGGCACTGAAGCATGAGGTAAAAAAACTTGAATGAGAAATGTAGTAAACCATCCTGTAGAAGAACTGTGGGACAGTCGAGAAAGTGAAGAATGTATAAAAGCCACTTCTACTCGAGATTCCATGGAGTCTGGAATTCCCGCAAAAATGGACTATATGAGAAAAGGAGCTTCTCTGAAATCTCTATGGGACAACATAGGAAGGTGAACAACCTACAGTAAGGCATCTCTGTCCAAAAGATCCCAGCAAGAAACCAACCAAGATATCAAGGAGAGAGCAGAAGCTGATAATCTAACCAAAGTGGAAGTCAATAAATGACTTATATCCCCCAAAATTTGAGCATGGAATCTATGATAGGCCTCATACAACAATCACACAGTAATAAAAAATGAACATATTGTAAATGACCGACGAATTCTGGAAAACTGAGATTGATTAAGATAAACAGTGGCATCTTGTCTAGAGCCCCAAATAGGAAGTAGAGGGTCTAACCTCTGAGAGTCCAAATAAGGGTTTTCCAGGTGATGAAAAGCCAAGGCATGCTGATCCAATAAATCAGGGGGAAAAGGCATGGCAGCATCCTCCCTCAATTGATCTGCAAATCTACATGTGTGTACAGCAATTTCTAACAAAGGTGGAAGGACCCGGTAACCAGATGAACTAGTTTCTCCCAATAAAGAAGATGAAGATTCATAAGCCACAGAAAAAATACTCAAAACATTACAAACATGGTATGCTAGTTGTAAAAAGGGTGAATGAGGCAGAATGTATGTCTGAGGTTCATGAGTAGCTGTCTGAGCAAAGGAAGGTGCTGGAAAAATAGTCTAAGTTCTCACTAGTCTACCCTTGATCTCCCACAAACTCAGTCTCAGAACCAACAAGAGAAAAAGTATCAGACTGCATGTAACACTCTACCTCTCTGTGTATAAGGAACTCCATGGAAGGTCATCAAACAATAGGATGGCCTGAGATATGCCTAGAAGCCAGAGCCATAATCAGCTTCTGCTGACGAGCTTCCCCTGACTGAGAAACCAACTCAGGAGAAATACCAGCAAAAACAAAAAAATCACAAGAAAGAGTCCCATTGGAAGTCATCAATAATATTGGGGGGCACCAGGGGGAGAAATCCTCTGTAAAATAGCTCTATAAAAAAAGATTAAAAAAATACATCAAAAGAGCATGCAAGCCACATGGAAAGAGAAACAAGTCAGTTAGTGTTACAGCTAAAGAAACATGTAAATTTGATACCTGCTTTTGAGAAAAAGAATCAAGAAATAATTATAGCTGTCAAAGCACACTGGATCTTTCAGGTGTAACAGAGATAAGTTCATCATTTAAAATGTTATATACCTGGGAGAAAAAATAGGAAATAAGTTCATCAGGAGAAGGGTTGGCTGGTAAATCATGTTCCTCAAACAATGGTAAAAAGCCTAAAGAGAGCCATGACCCAACCTATTGACATCCAATAAACCCTAATACTCATCAGGGACACCCCTAAGAAACTATGGGAATACTGCTGAAATAAAGCTTCAACAGAAGCAGAAAGACTATGATCAAGAACAGAGGCATTAAAAGAATTGAGTAAAACAGGAACAAAAATATTTGCTTGAGAAGTAACTTGAACTTCAAAATTTGTTACAGGAAAAAGACTACATGATGTTAGCAGCACAGCTGTGAACAAATAAATATAGATTATGGTAAAAAAGCAAAGTTTATGCAAGATCCTCCTGATGTAAGTATAAGTCATATAGTCAATGACAGAGTGGAGAATTATGGGTAAGTGATGTATGCTCTCCAATATGTAAAGGACATTTGAAAATTTATGTTTTGTTGACATTATGAGTTCAAACTCAACAAGGAAAGGCTTTCAGTAATTTAGTGGTAAGTCTACCTGATTTGAAATCTATGTTTTCAGATTTACTGAGAATCAAGTATTTGTTAATACATATTTTAACAAACAGCTTTTACATCATACAAATGTATGTTAATATCAGAATAAATTGAGGCATAGTAAACAATTTAAGAGACTGTAAAATCATAAGGATGCATTGAAAACTCAGTTTACGCAACTATAACTGCCAGAATCAAATTAACCTTCTTTAGGAACTGATTTTCAAATAAACAATATCCACTATTTAATTAAGTACATGTATCATAAAATTAAATAATTTGAATTTTAAGTGCTAGTTGTACTAATAAAGTAATTTTTGTATAATATTTTCAGAAGGATGTCAAGTTTGTAATTACTGGTATTAAGTAGACATTAGAATTATTAGGAAACAATAATGAACTATACCTCCTCTGTGGCTTATGTGACAGCAATGGAACTTTAGCTCCTTTCGTCGATGAATCAAGGTTGGATATTTGAAAAGTAACAAAGAAGACAAAATGTATCCTCCCAAAAAAGTGAGAGAAATGAGAATCATTTCTGTAAGGTAATCTGTGAAAAAAATATATACATATATATAAATACACAATATTTATTATCCTTCAGTAATTGCTCTAAAATACATACATTTAAACAACAAGACATTTATTTTCAGACACTTGCTATATGTGTTCATTATTATTAATCATATATAACAATGTAATTCTTATAATTATGTAATCTTATGTAAAACTTCATTGATATAACTATTTTGGAAGAGGATTGATAGCAAACAGAACATATTATCCTTTGGTGACATGATTTCACAAACAGTATTACATACATAATGTATGCAGTTTTTCAAAGCAATATTACATACAGTTATGGCCTTAATGACTTTAGTATAAATTTCTGCTCAGGTCAGCATTTGAGAGTATACATTTATATTTACATGACCACAAAAAAGTGGCATGTCAGTGAATTTATCATAATCATGTCAGGGTCTTCACCATGTGTCAAGAGGCATTACCCTAATCTAAGTATATTAGTGTTCAATATATGGTGATATATTTGGTTTACCAAATAAAGTTGGGCACATTAGTAATGTAATCATAGTGTGAAAAGTTAATCTGTCCAATATTAAACACATAGCATGAAGTTTGTAAAATAAGAAACATCACAAACAGTGACCATAAGACTGTGCATTAATCTGTATGAAGTAGTGTGTGTGTGAAACTGATGCTTCTTAAATAATGAAATAGATCAGTCGTTTGATTACTGTCAGGCTGCTATTACTTTCTTAGGTAATCCACCTTCATTTGTGGTTCCTCAAGGTTGAATATTTGCATATATGTGCAGTTCTTTGGGAACAACTAGACATCAACAATGAATTAATTTAATGAAGTTGTAAAAAATTAACTAATGTGTGGTAATGAGTGTTTTAGTTGTGTTGAATGTGGTTAAATAAGGCATTCTTACCCTAAAAACATTCAGGAAATGAGTTTAAGAAAGAGTTGTAATGATGTTTCTTATCAGGGTTTAAACTATATTCTGCAATTATCAATTGCTGAATGATCATGGGAGATGAAGTCTCATTTTCATTGATGTACATACTTAACGGATGGTGCATATGACCTTGACAGACATGCACTGTGACATTTAATTCTCCTGTGAGCCCAAGTGTTGGGTTTTGTTCATTTTCTCTACAAAATTAGAGTGAAATAGTGTTAGCAAATTAAATGTTTTCCAAACTATTAGGAACTTGTAAGTTATCTGTTCAAATACTGATAGGTGAGTGTTGTTATGGATTCCTAGTTTTATTGGATATGATAGCACCAATGCTTTAAAACTATAATTTTTGGACTATTGTTTAGATAGTTATGGATGTACAAAGTTATTCTGTTTCTACTAAACATGACACATATAACCCTGTTCACTACCAGGTAAGGACTTAGTAGGAATAAATTGAATTCCTAGCAAACCTTTCACAGATTAATCCTTTATACTGGAGGTTTTACAATCTGATTTCACTGCAAAGTCCAGCCTGAATGTAATTTGAAAAGCAATAGAATTCTACTCAAATTTTACTGGTACTGCATTCTCTTTATAAAATGTCTTCATAAATCATGATTAAGACAAATATTGTCTTATGCTAATGAAGTAATTGCTGATAAATCTAACAGTATCCTAAAATACAGAGTATCATCACCGAAGCAGAAAGATCAGTACATAAACAATTTTCCTACTGTTGATATCACTGAGCTGTGATTGGCCCATATTCTTTTCCAGTAACACTTGAGCATAAGAAAATGTAAGAAAAAGGCTGATTTAGATTATCATCATTTGAATACAGTTACTAATCTAATAAAAATGCTATGATTGAATGAAGGATGATGTAGAAATTTCATTTCAAAGAAAGTTTACTAATGCTCTTGGATAGCTATTGGCTATATCAGGTTCCTATATAAATGGTAAGCTGTTCAAAGAGAGCTGCTCCAACCCATTACAGATTTGATCAGTTTAAAGAGATTCTTTGGTCCTAACCAACTCTCTAGCAACTTTAGAAAGGTTAATAATCTCTTTAATTGTGGATTTTTTGCATTATTTTGTCAGCATGTTTTCCAATGATATAGTAATAGCACCTCCTTCATTTGACCAATACTTATCTGACCTGTTAGAGTATGAGTTCCTAAACTAGGGGTCTCAGATCCTTTGCTGAGAGTGGCACAGGAAAGTGTCAGGGAGAACACAGTAAATACACAATTATTGTTAAGGCACTCAGTATTTACAGATTCATTGGCTGGGGGAGAGAAGGCTCAGTCAGGATATAGAAGGTCCTGTGGTGGGTCTTGTGCTGAGAAAGTTTCAAACCCCTGAGCTGATTTTTTCACAATTACAAGCACAAAGGTTGACAGTAAGAATTACAAAACTATTTTCTTCCAGATATGATTTTGATATTTTTAGTTTCTGGTTATATATCTGATATTCAATCAGATCAAAATAACATCAAAGGTACTGGGGATTTTCTTCAATTTTTTTTCAGTCAAATAGCTATACTAAGTGTATAATAATGACATCTGTAGATCACTTGATGGTTTGGAAAGCAAGGAACAGCACTACTTTCAGTCACTGATTTTTGAATCAACTGACTGTCCAATGTGCTGGTCAAACATTCAATCCCAGCCATAACAACTCAGTAATTGTTGTTGTTGGCATCTCTGCCAATCATTACAGCAGGCAGAATGCTCTTCTACTGGTGCTTATTCATGTAACTCTTCTCACAGAACAAGATAAGTACTGATAGTTTCCTCTTTCTCATACACTATGACAGGATCAAATTCTAAAATGCTCTCATCATAATAGTTAACCTGCTGTGGTATTCTAAGATTATCTTTGTTCCGTCAAGTAGCCTGCAAGATCCACAAAATAAAAAGAGGATTTGTTAGATACTATTTCATGAATGAATTCCTGAATGTGATTTGCCTTTGACCAATATTTTACAAGAAAGATAAAGGACACAAGCTGCTAGACAATTACAATATTCATCATGAACAATCAAAGTCAAGCTTAATTCTTAAACAAGTGCTGATGTGCTTCAATGGAGAGAGGAATAACTTTACTTGTGCACTCTCAATAGCCTACTAATGCAGAATATAAAAGTGCTAAAGTCCGGCCAAATTAAGAAATATGGTTAACACTGTATCTAAACTATAAGTTAGAATGAATGAAATCTCTAAATGCTTTAACTTAACATTTTCCTAAACTGAAAATGTTAACTTCCAAAACATACTTATCTCCACTGACACTATAGCTAGAATCCCACATTGAGAAGGTGGAGGGGGCCAGTGCAGTCATGAACCATACAGAAAGCATCTGTATAGAACAGAAGTGTACCAAGATAAAGATGGTATGCTGTTCTCCTGGAACTCAGTTCCTATAGCAAAGGTGGAAAAGAATATGATTAATTGTCAGTATAAGCCAGCCTCAACCTATATCCCACATTGATGGCTAGGGCTATTGGACTGCAATGTTATATATATATACTTTTGATTGGATCCCAACCTATAGCCATAGAGTGATGCGAAACGCATCACTGGAATCATGACAAGATAGTAAGTAACACCGAAGTGGTCAAACTTTCTCCTCCACCTGAAGAAGTCCAAAAGGCAACATCTCAGGCTCAGAATGATGGGATCATGTATGCTGTACTCAACCAAAGGAACAGAACTCATCCAGTCTGGAATTATGAACATTCATCTTTAGTCCCCAACCAAGTGGGCAAGGAGTTATTTCGCTTGTCCCTGGAATTATACAGAACCTGTGCTCAACCAAGGACTTGGATGGGACCACTTTGCATTCGGAATCATGAGGAGATAGTGGACCTCCTTCCATGAACAACATGTGAAACCAACATTGATCAAAGAGAAGGGCCATGCGCCTCCAACCGGAAAGCTTTGTGTCAACTCTGAACCAGAATTATGAGTAGGCTCCTGTGGAGGCTGGTGACACTCCTACTGACATCTGGGAAAAACATCCAGGGACTAGAGTAGGAGGGCCTCCAACTTTGCCATCTTCTCCAAGAGTGGAGGAACATACTTTAACATTCTGGAGGAAAAGCTTCTGTCAGCCATCCCAGCGACTGGAAACTGGGGGTGGTAAGGACTTCCGAGCTCCACTAGTAGAGTCTGGGGGGTAATACGCATTGGAGAGTTCTGAGGAACAGTGCTTTGGAAACTGTGCAATAGGTGAACCAAGTTCCTTACATTTTTAAAAGCAAACCAATCCCAATTTATTCAACCTGAAGATCAGCAGGAACATGTAGGATCCCCTTTAGCTTTACCCATGATAGTCCATGAGTGGTGATCCATAATAATAAGGTAATACCATGTGTTAGGCACCTAGATGGTGTTATGGAACACCCCATTTCAACAGAACCTGTTGCAACCTGTAGTAATTATAATGAAGGTAGTTGATAGTGTGGAATTGAAAGAGAAAGCATATCTGCCTGGGCAACACTCACCATAGAGTGGGATCCAGTGAAAAATAAAGGGACCCTGGAAATAAAAGAGTATATGATTGAAGAAAATAATCACCTCTGGTTATAGGCTAACAGATGTGGTCAAAATAGCTACAGGGAATAGCCGAAAACCCTCAAAAGATGAAACTGCCAGATTATGTAAGAAATGAAATAGAAAAATATTAGGAGTAGTACACATACCAGCCTGCACAATGTCTTCCAGAGGGCAATTCAATCGGACAGCTAATGACATAGAGATATGATGAATCTAGTGAGATTTGACAGACAAAAAAATCCTCTCTTGTAACAATAATCCATTATAGGTCATGTGAAGCAATTTGCAAAGCCACCTCGTTAGGGTAAAAAGAGATAAATTATGAGAAATGGTAGGATCCCAAGAAAAAACAATCGATTCCTAGTACCTTGAAATGAGTTAGTACGAGCCAAATAACACTTGAGGGGCCTTACAGGACATAACAAACGATAATAATCAAAGTGGTCATAAAGGTGAGAAATGTCTAGCAAATGGACTGGTGAGAAGGATCTTTTCTCTTCC